GCAGGCGCTCGCTGCAGCAGAGGCAGAGCCACGAGGCGACCACGGCACCTTGTGCCCGGCCCTGCGGGAGCCTGAGGACACCCGTCCTCTCCCGCCTCCCCAGGCGGAGGGGAGGCCGCTCCTGTTTGCAGACATTTCTCCCCCACAGAAGGAATCTGACTGGTTTAAGCTGTTCCTAAGGGGCAGCATCAAAGACGAAGAGAGAACTGTGGCTGGCAGCCAGTGCCTCAGAACTGAACTGAATTAAATTATCTACGGTCAACAGTGTTTAACGGCCAAAGTCTTCTCCATTCTGTTCCACTGAGATGAGCTCAGTGCCACAAGCTTTTACAGTTTTTAGAAATATGGAATTTATGAGCACCTTTAAAAATCATTTGAGAAGAAAAAAACACGCCAAAACTACAAACTTGGCGTAAAGCAAAGTGGAAGAGAACCTGGTTTTGCTGCCGCCACAGACAAATCCAAAGAAACGACATCAAAAAAAGCCCCAACCTTCAATTCATAACACAGAGAGAGAGGGAACATCTGATGATAATGAAAGGAAAAGGGGATCTGAATAGAAATGGAGGGAGAGTAACATATTTCCAGAAAAATAAAGAGAATTACTTTCTAAGTCTCTCAGCTCGTTATTGGAGGCCAACTATGTCAAGTGTGTGCTACTTTCAATGACGTTCCTCAAAGAGGTATTAGCTGTACTTATATAAGATATTTGTGATATAAACAGTATTCTAAATATGCCACTTTTAACTAATTTGAGAGAAAAAGCATTCTCAAAGGATACTGATGGTAAAAAATATTTTTTCTATTTCAGTAGCACAGTGCAAACTCATGACTAATTTTTTGGCTGCTGTCACCAATAAGTTTCTTCTGGAATGACTCTTTCCTGTCTTCTCATTCCTACTGATTAATTCCTGTTTATAGTTTTCCATTTAAACTTTTCTGTTTTGTTGCAAAAGATAAATATAGTGAGATGAAACCTTCATTAGAGTTTACCATTCCTTAAAATATTTCATCTTCTTTCACATAAAATGTTCTTTCTCTTCTGCTTTATTAATGATGATTAAACTATCAATTGCTTAAGTTTCATGTTGTATTGCCAGTAATTCTGAGGTGTTTATGAAATTTTGATCATTACAGTGTTCACTTGCCAGCCAAACAGATTTCACTAAATATTAAACATTCTCTAAATACGTGTAACTTGCAAATTATCTACCCCTTGCAAAAGATTCCATCAGATCTCAGGCACGACATTTCAGAGGTTTGGGACATCTGGGCTCCTAAAATATGACGTATGCAGCCGGAATTATGGCTTCACAGCAAATTATCTGAAGGGTCTTCCTCACCTTTGCGCACTGCATGTGGTTGCAGCCCTCATTCTTCTGAATCGGAGATTTGCAGTTGGCGCACGGTTTGGAGTTCGTTAGTAACCACAGGCAGTTGGCAGCATCTTCATACGCCTCACTCACTCCCACAACTTTTCGATGGTGACAGGAGGATACGGAGCATGCAAAACCAAACAAGTTCAAATTGGACTTGTGTAATCTTTGTTAAAATCAGGTTAGGAAAGATATATATTTGCCTGTTTCTTGACAAAATACTGTAATTCTTCACAATATATCTTTCTCATATATATAAATATATACATTTTATAATTTATACAAATTATATATAATATTACACATAGTATTTCAAATTATTTTCCCACATCTATATCTATACAAATTTGTAAGCCTTATGTATATCATTCACAACAGACAGATGAGTAAATATGAGAAAAATTGGGATAGTCTCACAAATTATGGTGTGGATTGACATTTTATAAAATTTTCTATGCTTTCTTAGAATATTTATAACATATTATGGAGAGGCTCTGAACTGAAGTAACCAAGTTAAGTTAGTATTTATTCAAATTACTGATTAAATTTCTTTGTTAATAGAGATACAAGAAAATGCCTGTCCTTGAAAACTCAACTAGTTTTTCCAATAAATGTTATTTATCATTAAGCCATTGCCTCTCATTCAGGGGTTTAATATTCTTCCCTTTTTACCCTATTTTTTAACCAATGCAGAGTTCATAATCAATGTGACTAAAAAATCCCTATAAACCCAAAAGATAGCAATAACAGCACCAAAAATAAGAAAGAAAAAGAATATCCCCCCCTGGCACGACTCTTACGTTCTTCTGGTTTCATTTCAGATATTTTCTGCAGCCAGTCCTTCCAGGTTTGGCAGTCACAAGGTTCATGTGCTTCGCCAAGACATTCCCTGAAATGAATGCGTATACACAATTACCTGCCACCTCGAGATTCAGAATTAAAGTCAGGAAGAGAAAAAGGCATCCAATTAACATTACTTTAAAATACTCTTAGACTACTTGCAGACAACCACAGATGACCAGTATTAAGACTAATAAAGAATTTAAATGAGACAGGAAAGAAAAAGAGCTTTATAACACTGCAACGTGAAAGAGCTCAGCTGGTTTGCAGTTTGTTTTGAGTTATGACGGGGAATTCCTTTAGTGCCATAAATAATGCCAGTATAGTTTCTGTGATAAAGGTAAAACAGAATAAAGAGACTATCCAAAACCAGGTAGTTTGCTATAGCTGGAATACATTTTATGTACTATTACTTGCATATATTCAGTTATAAATCTTCAACTAGATTCAAGTTTTTAATCTAGACCAAGGGTGAAGCCCTTCAACACCAGCATTAAGTGTTTATGAACGTTTACTCTTTCCACCAGAGTCTCTTAAACGCAGGCTTTAGCTTAAGTTACACGGACACAGTGGAGAAATGAGTCCCTGGAGCTTCTCTTGAAGCTGCTGCTGGCTGTAAGGATGGCAATCACTACGGCACCGTGGCAGATAAATGCCTTCCAGATGGTGCCTCACCGCACATGTGTCAACACGGACTCCGGATTTGCAATGACTCCCTCTTCTACTGAAATAGCAGCAAATAGACTCAGACATCTGCCACATCAAGGAAAACAATTCCGAGGGAGGACACTCCAGATGGGCAGCAGCTGCATCGGGGCATTTGCGACTCTTCTGCAGATCCCGTGGGGAGCTGCTCGCTGCAGTGCAGACTCAGAAGCTACATCAATAGTCCTCTGATCGCTCTTGTCCACGTCGTAAGCAGAACGAAGAAAAGGTTATGGCAACAGTTTTCAATGTTTTTCCCACTAGCTAGGCTGCTATCAAACAAGCCTGAATTCATTACACAAGGATCTCTGGTGTGGAGATACTTAAGCTGCATAGCTGGGTAAGATTTTACTGGAACGTGTAACTCATCTCTGAGAATGCAACCTTAGCCCTGGCTGAACATCGACACGTTTCACCCCTGTGGGACATCAGCACACTGAAATCATTGACTTCCATAGAGCCAAGACCTCTCACACTGTGTTTGTTCCCAGAAAGTACCAAACCAAACAAAAAATAACTTTAACAAACCTAGGTTTAAGCTAAAAGCTAACTAGCCAACTATTGTGGTTGACTACAATCAGTGTACTGTTACACTATTTATCATATATTACTACTATTATTACAATAATATTATTTTATTACTGGGAGAGGGGTGGGCATTAAAGTTGTGTCTTAGATGTCTTCGAATTTGTGGATTTGTAATGAGGTGCAATCATATATATCTCATGTACCCATATCTAGATCTCTATCCATACAAAAGTCACAACAGAGGGTTAAAAGAACAACTACTCATGGAAGAAGTTCTTCCCTCAACCCACCCCAAAACAAGAATCCACATTTTAAAAAAAAAAAAGGAATTGATCAATAGACTCATATAATTTTCTTGTTTTCATAAGCAGGAAGGCTACATATCCAACCAAAACAACTCCAAGTGATTATACAGGGGCTGGCTGGGCGTTTCTAATGCTTAAATTTTGAAGAATCTCTTACTAAATGCAGCATCAGTTGCTATTACAATGTCTAAATTGTAGATTACCTTGATAAAACTTGCAAAACTGTTGCAAGCTTGGAACTGTGCGATGCATTGATTGAACTTTAAAGATACAGAGCAAGCTCCCTCTGAGCACACAGCAATGACGAAAAGCCGCTGAACTGAGAACGTGCTATCTATTTTTCCATAGGCACTCGTTCCTGCCTGGTTTTTTTGCACTGTGAGACTAATACGGCTGTCTTCAGCAAATCGTTCTGATTTATAGCACTGCAGGATGTTTTTGTTGCTAGCAGAACTTTCCTGCCATTGCTGAAACTCTTCATTCACTTTCTTGTGGATGAAAAAAAGCCCTTGGAAAGTCCTTCCTGGACATTTTGCTGCTAAAAGAAGGTGTCTTTCAAGACCGTAATGATTTGCTTGTGAAGTATCTCAAAGCATTAACATAGAAAGAACATTCAGAAACATTATCAGGAAACATAAAGACATTTCTCATAAAATGAGGCACTGGGGACGTCCTGGGGTGCTAGTACATTCAGCCCACGTACATTCAGCAGAAGCTGCCAATTTCTGAAGGGCCAGGTCACTATTACACCAAAGCGGTTTCAAGCTCTGTCCTTCAGTTAATGGAGAAAATTATTGTCTCTCTGTAAGCAGAGGCACAGATGAGAGGGTGGTACCTTCTTGGGGAATAGTACTAAGGTTTGGTTTATGTTCACTGGTAAAAACCATTTCCTGGTTTGTTTCCACAGGATTTGTTTCTAAGTTCTCCATCTGCTGTGAACAACTTCTTCCCAGCAAATTCTGTCTCCTGGCTTTTGTGGTTGTTTCATTATGTTCGCTTTCCTCTTTTTCCTTCTTCCTTTCCATTCACGTGCGGAAAGAACTAAAATCAGAAGCATTTTTCATTAGGAGTCTTATGATATTTGGAATCAGACAGATTATTCAGGATCTCTTCTTCTTGCAGCATGGTTTTAATCAAAAAATGAAGAGAGGATTACTTGACTTGTCTGAATGTCTACACTTTGGTTGACCACTTTTGATTTTCCAACAACGAAAAGGATGTCCCACTATAATGGTTATAGATTGTCAGTCTGCTAATCTCAAGGAACTAGAAAAGGGCTTTGCTCCCCACTTCAGAAAAACACCCCACCACTTTTTCCTTTTGGCCATACTCTTGTTGTCCTTTCCTTAGAAGTGCTGAAGACAGGCAATCTCAGGGATGCTTTTAAAAAATCTTAAGGCTTTTTAGTCCTTCTTGAGCTTGTATTCATCTTAAGATTCAACAGAAGACAACACAAAGAAAAGTGCCGATGCCGAAGTGACACAATATTGGAGTGATCTCACAAACAGAATAGCTGCGTATGAACCAAAAGTCCCGTTTAAACTCTTTTAAACTTCTTTGATGTGATTCTACCAAAACTCGGAAAGAGCTACAAATTTCTGATTACCTGCACTGCAATCCAGAATGTGCCAAATTTCAGTTATACGACAGTGTGCTGCTTTTGGCTGGCGTAGAGTCAATTTTCTTCCCAGTAGCTGGGATAGCGCTGAGTTTTGGATTTAGGATGAGAAACAGTGTTGATACCACAGGGATGTTTTAGCTCTTGCTGAGCAGAGCTTACACAGCAGTGAGCAGGCTGGGGGTGCACAAGAAGTTGGGAGGGGACACAGCCGGGACAGGTGACCCCGAGTGCCCCAAGGGACACCCCAGCCCATATGGCATCACGCTTGGGGCACAAAGCTGGGGGCAGAAGGAAGGGGGGGATGTCAGGAGCGATGGTGTCCGTCTGCCCAAGTCACTGTCACACGTACTGGAGCCCGGCTCTGCTGGAGATGCCGAACACCCGCCTGCCCATGGGGAGCGCTGAACCAATTCCTTGGTTTGTTTTGCTCTGCTTTACCTGTTAAATTCTCTTTATCTCAACCCACGAGTTTTCTCACCTTTACTCCTCGGATTCTCTCCCTCATCCCATCAAAGAGGAGTGAGCAAGTGGCTGTGTGGGGCTTAGTTGGCACCTGGGGTTAAACAAATAAGCACACAGAGCCAACACAAAAATCCCTCCACCAAGACCTTGCTTCTCCTCTATCTCCTCAGAACAGAACATCACAACAATCCATACTGTGGGTTTCCCTTTAACAGCCAATAACGAGTAATAGGGTTATAAACCTCTGCTGTGCCCCAAAATACTAAAACATTAGTGCACGTGAGGTTATTTAGCACATGGATACAGGACAGTACAGTCATATACCATCCCATTCCAACTGTTACTGCATGCTTGGTGCTACGTGGTATTTCTTAATTAGTCACCGGAATAGTAGTGACTGTCAGTTCGCGTAGATGCAGGGACGTTTCTAGCACTCACCAGCAGAACAGGTGTCCTTTTCCACAATCTACAGCAGGGGCTTTTAGCATAGGGAAGCTAAGCGTGTCTGATCCTGTCGAATTGGATCCTTGTCTTGTTAGCCTTACTGCTCTTTCACAGCCTGGTATAGGACACCACTTAATAGCAGGATTGTTTTCAACAAAGGCCTGGGAGAAAAAAGGTAAAAATGAAAAGTATTTTACCACGTAAGATCAGATTTCATCACTGATATAAACGAATCTGCATTCCTAAACTTCCTTTGACAGAACAATGCCAAAAAGCATAAGGACAATCTTGGAGCTACTTCGACAGGCTTTTAAAAATAGTTATAAAAAGGGAATAATTTAATCTCCACCTTAAAAACGTGGGGTTTGGTGGTTTGCTTTTTTTTGTTTGTTCCTTTTGTTTGGTTGGTTTTTTGGCTTTTTTTTTTTTGTTTTTCAAATAACAACAGTCCTCCAGGCTTATCCCAAACAAAATGTTCGGAGTGCGCAAGTCGATTCCTCTGTGACACAGGTTACTGTAAACTTCTGTTATATATGCACTGGCAATACACTCATTAACAGACCCGACTCTTGTAGCTGAAAAGAATTACAACTTTATTGATTAAAACAACATATCCCACCCGCATATCCCACAACATATCCCACCCGCAACGAACCCCAAACCAGAGCTAGACTAACTCAGGAATTGACCTCCAATCTTTTGTGGTTAATGTAGCAGGTCTTCTTTTGCAACACTTACATCGAATAAATGAGGAGGAAAAGGAACTTTCACTACTTTGCTTCCAACCTGTGCTGATCACCAGCCACTTCAAACATGAAGATGTAAAAGATTAACCAGCTCTGGTCATGTAATTTGCATCTTCCTGTGTAAGACTGTTACGGTCATCACTTGTCTCTTAGAGACTTGTCACACAGAGAAAGTATTGCACTGTAAATGAAAAAATACTTTTCTTCTTTCTTTTACCCTGCCCACTCAATAAAGTAGCATATTATTTTAAAGATTTCTTAGTTACTACACTAGTATAAATGAAAAAAGGTGAATTAAATGATTGCTATTAAAGTCAAGTTGCGATGATGAAAAGAAAGACTAAAAAATACGAAACAGAAAAAAGAAATCAGGGTTTTCCTACTTCTCTTCCTATATACAGCAACCATATCATGCACTGGATGGAAAAAATAAGTAATTCACTTTTACCAATGCATTTTAAAAATGAAAATAGGTACTATTTCTGAATGTAAATAGTCTCTTGCTAATAAAAATAATCCAGTAAATCTTAAAAATTTTACATCACCAACACAAACAAGTCTGGCTAATTAAAGGCTTCACATCACCTGTAACAGACATTAGTTTGATCAAATGAATTTATTAATATTGCATTAAGTTACACATTATGCAAGCACTGCTTATGTGCTTAAGGAATAAATACAGTATTCTTTTCTCAGTGATATATAAAACATTAATATTATATCCCATACGACAGCCAATAATTCAATGTCCGTATTAATTTAGTAATTTCTTCTTGGAAAGTTACTGATACATTGAAGCATTTCACAGAGAAGTTGTAAGTTAATTTTTATAAAATGAAATACAATTCAAGAGTACAAGAACAGTTTGATAATTTACCTTAATGTCAAACTGAAGGTATCTTTTGTCCATCTCCTTGGAAACCACACTTTCTATGATGTCTACAGGCACAAGCTGGAAACAATCATACGCTGGGCAAAAAATGTTGTGAGCTTCACCCTCCTGAATTTTCAGGTTCAAAAATCTGCCAGAATCAGCCAGTCAGTATTTGTGAATAAAAAGTAAAAATTAAAAGGCTGCTGAATACTTTATACTAGGTTTGCAGATATTCACATTAATCAATTTTTAAACAAAGAAGAGCAAGTACCCATTTCTGCTCAGAATGGCTACAGATGTGATGAACAGCATAATTGAAACAAAACCCAGAATGTTGCCACAGTTCAAAAGTGAGCCCCGTTAGCCAAGCTTAGCCCTATGTGTTTGTGGTTTCCGTCCTTGCCATTGCTCAGGTTCAGCTCTGCAATGTTTAATTAAACCGAGCATTACTTCTAGCTTAAATCAGAAACAGAACTCGCAAGTGTAATTAATCTAGGAAATAATTACTTTGATGCGCGATTAATTTTTACAACTGCGCTAGTCGAAATACATCTGCTCTTGGAAACAAATTTCTGAAAGGAGACCTTTACAGTCCCCAAGCACCAGAAGGGAAGCCAGGAGGAGTTCAGGAATCTGCTGAAAGCTGGCCTTGAGCTGGCGGTGCACAAGGTTGCTTAGTTCAGAAGCTATAACTTACTCCTTACCCCGACACCCTGTCACCTGACCTCACCTAAAGGACAGGAGCTGTTCGGGTTAGTCACCCGCGATCCTTTCATAGTTAAGGCAGAGAGACTTGCCAGTTCGTCCCACCTTAGAATTGCATCTTGCGGTGCGGTAACTCAGTCCTGGCTGTGCTCCGAGTAACGCAGAGCCGGCTGGCTCAGAACCATCACTCCCACCCCAGCTGTGTCGCCCCAGACGCGTGCTCGGCCCTGAGCCGCAGCCCTGGGCGCGGGCACACGTCCCCGCGCACACAGCCCAGGACCCAGAGCAGAAGCACACGTCAAGCCAGGCATCTCCTCGAGGCTTCCACACCGCTGCTTAACAATTTGCAAGACAACAGTAGCTATTCATTTTCTTGCCACCGAAAAGAGTTGCCTTCTAAAAGCCAATATGGGAGAGAAAGAGCTCCCCCTTAACACAGGAGGAATGGGTTCACACAAATTGGGATGATCTGCGGCAGGACAAACTGTGCTGATACAACGCTCTACAGCTCGAGTAGTACAATCTCTTGAATGGGGAAAAAGAGGAATATAAAGGCACCGCATACAGATATAATAATTCCTGTGAAGTATGATTAATATTTATACTAGCATAATTATCCATGTCTGAGTCTTTTACTAGCATGACTGTTCTGATTTAAAAAAAAGTAGTAACAAGAGCATTACACTAACAGGACTTTTAAGCTAAATATACTCCTCAGTTACTAACCTTCAACGTAAGAAAGCATTTTAATTGCTTTTGACTGGAAATGGATTTATGATGCCCAAATTTAGTATGCTAAACTAAGATGGAACTAAATGTGTACTTAATTTATAAAGTGTAAAACCCCTGATGCTGCCGACACCACACACACGTTGAGCAAATCAAGAGTAGGCTCATCTATTTACACACAGGCTTGTAACATTTGCTCAGAAGTTTTGGTAAAGCACTTTGAGGGATACTTAAATATTTGACAGGGTCAAAACAGCAACTCTTTGAAACTCAAGCAGTACTGTAACATTAGCAGTTTATGTTCTCTGGCCTTTCCTCTTCCAAGTGGCAAGTATGAACATCTCCAAAAAGACAGCAATGCTCGTGTACTCACGCCTCCCAGCATGCTCTGCAGAAGTCATGTCCACAAGGCATATCCACCGGGTCTTCAAATACAGAAATATTACACATGCAAATGTCACACTGCAGATAAAAGAATACTTCTGATTAAGAAATACCCTAAAGCCTTTCATATTGTTAGCAAGACACATTACGTGGGAAAATCTTAGCAGAAACTTACAGAAGTGCTCAGTAGGGGCAAAAGATCTAACTGTAACCAGAAGAAAAAGTAATTTAAGAAACAGGAAAAATGAGGTTTCTCTGCTTCTGTACCTCCCTATCCAAAGAGCACATTTGGAGGTGCCTTCCACCGTGCCCTCCAGCTCAGCAACTGTTTCGTCCTGCAGAGCACTGGGACCTCAGAGTCAGAGCTCTAAGGACAAAAGGGACCCGAACTTTTAATCAGCTTCACAGGCAGCCACAAATGGAGTGGGGAGATGACAGCAGCTACAGGACGTGTTTAGCAACTCACACAAGTGGGTCCAGATCAAGATGGAGCGATTTCGTTGAGCAACTATTTTCAGTAATAATCTACATAAACGCTATTCTTAAAAATACTTGGAGGCCTTCGATCAAAATATAGTGAGTTAAGCTATAAATATTCCAATGGAAAACACCATTGCTAAATTTTATACAACTAGGTATTACAGAAGAACGTAACACTGAACACGGAGACCTTTACTCTGCAAACATTTAAAGCTTAGGGATGAAATCACTCATTGCTTGTGGCTAGGCATGAAAATAAATACTCATGTTCTTCAAAGAGTACAGTCAGGTTATTCTTTTCATTGGAACAAGGTTTCCATGAAAATTTACTTCAACACATTAGACACTATACACACATCCTATGTTTTTGAAATATTAGGCCATGGAACAGCACTTTTTAAAAGCACTTGTTTTACTGCCAAAACAAACCCCAACCAAAAAATTTGGCCTTTAAAGTGCAGAACACGATGACGTTGTTTCAGTCATTTCAGCTTATTGTCATCCCAAAATTACACATTTTAGAAACTGACAATGCATCAGAAATATTCCCTATTACATTTTTAGGAGTTTTCAATTTAAAATGTAACTAATAAAACAAGGACTTTCACGAAGTCCTGAGCTCAAGCACAGAACATTTACTGAAACGTTTTAATTGCAAGGTAGGATGCAAATGCACAATCTGAAGAAGAGTTTTACAGCTTGCAGGTTCATTTTATCTATTCCTCTTAGTTTTCATTTACCTGCCAAATGAAAAGACTTCAGAAAAATACGTATGATTTCATAACCAACATTTTGAAAATATTATTTTCATAGCTCAGCTCTATAAGATTTTTAAGCAAACAGAAATACTCGGTGTATAACTCTGGATCTGTATTTAGATACCCTCGATCTAGAATGGCAATCACTATCCAAACCTGCACTCGGGGCTTAGGGATCACCAACGAAAAACAAAACACACAACGCAAAACTGCAGACATATAATCTTTCATTACACAGTTTAATTAGGAAATATTCCTGGACAATATTTAACTGCTAATGCAAATAAATGTATGATAACATTACTCCTTCCATATAGCTTCTTTTTCAGCCTTTTACAATAAAGAAACAAAAGATTTTTATGTGGGAACACAAAAAGTTAATTTTAATAAGAGACAGGGATGATCCACTTGCAAGACTGCATACAGCATGCTGGAAAAATGCTTAGGTTGTGGAGCAAAAGTTTTATAATGCTGCAGCTGCAGATTATTGAAAAGAGAACTTTGTCTTCCAGAAGAACCACACTGATTTTAATGAAAGGCGCTTTCATATTTCAAATTTGCAATAGCCCTGTAAACCGCTTGAAAAAGCCCACACATATAATAGTAATTATAAGCTGACAGTACACTAGTGGGCTGACATTTCAAAACGCGGACAACGAGAATTTTGTTTCCTAAAGAAAGAAATTTTCAGAAGGCAGGGTCCATAGCACTAAGCACATTCAGGGAAACGGATACAACAGAAGTGAACATCTTGGTAGGCACGAGAAGGGAAGCGAAGCTCCAAAGAGCCCCACGCCCCGATGCTGCTGCAGCCGGCTGAAATGCTCCTTCGAGAAGGACGGCCACGGCAAGAACAGAGTGCTGTGCACCAGCCTGGTGCTCCGCCGTGCTACTGTACATAGCACTTCAGGCGTCAGCTTCTGCTCACCACAGGTGTGAAGAGAAACCCTTCACAAACGTCTTTTCAGAACGAGCTGCGAGCGCCGCTCTCCCGTCCAACAGGTGCCCCGCGATCAGGAAGACGCTCTCGTGCCCTGCTGGCTTCAGACCAACGTAACAACTTACCAGAGCTGTCTCGATGTCTCCGGGCGAGGGGCTGATCTCATCAGGGGAAGTCAGAGAGGAGCGAGTCGTGCGTGGAGTTCGTGGAGAAGGCAGCGTGTCCCACGCGTTGTACCCGCTTGGGGGGGGAGTTGGCATCTGAACCCCGGAACGCTGGCAGCAGTTCTCCGGATTAGACATCCAGGCTTCAAGTAACTTCTCCCTGTCCCAGTCTTCAGTAAAAACACAGACACAGGAAATCACGCCGCTGACAGTGGCTGCAATACATCTTGTAACTGCACTGTCAAACCAACTCATAAAAACTGCACTAACCCATAAAAACACTGAGCTAATATATTTAGGAATAAATAAATATGAAAAAGTGTGAACGGAACGTTACACATTAAATTTTATGAGACACATTCCAAGACAATATATAATATATTTATGTAAATATTGCATTGCAAGCGTCACATTCCCCTGCACTACCAGTATTAAATAAATTTATTTTCATTGTTTACTCACAGCAACTGTAGTAGCTGGGAGACTCAATCAGGAACTAGAACTGCAATGACTTGCAAAGCCAGATCAGAACATAACAGCCACCACACCAGAGGATTTTCAACATTTTCTCTTTCTATGAAAAAACCAATTGTTCAATATAGATTCACTTTTATCTACCATGGGGATTTTTAGCAAGGTGATGCCAAGTGCTATAAATGAAGAAAGAAGATTAAGATACAACTGGATTACAAAGATTTGCTACCTAATGAGTCACCAGTCTTTATATATGCCTGTAAGCATGAGGTAGGTAGAGCTGGGAAAAACCCACCAAAACTAAAAAACCCCCATCTGATCACAAAAAATATTTCATCTATTCTCAAGACATTTTTATTCTATCATTGTTACTGAATAATTTACTTTTATACATAATTAACACTGCCCATTTATGTACAAAAATGAACTAGTAAAATGAATTTTCTTTATGAAGACCTTAAAATTAAATCAAATCTCTTTAAATTGTTTGAAATGTTTTCTGTTTCCGATTCGTAAGAGTAATATGAAAGATAGCTTAAGAATTGTTTTTTCTGTGAAACAAAACTTCTCATTTAAGTATAAAACTATGAAACTCCTACATGAATTTGAATCTAAACTCAACCCTAAGCACAGATCAGATGAACTAGAAGTTCAGAAGGAAAAGGGAAATTTCCCAGTTTTTTTCCCCATCACTTAAATATTTTAACATATACATTTTGATATTAACCAAAAGATGTGTGTTATTTTTATTGAATTTTAGATTATATAAGAAAAAGACAACTAGTATTCCTACACTATTAATGCTAGGAAAAGAAAAAGCTATGTTTTCTAAGCACTGAACTTGGTAAAAATATTGTCGCTGTCAGACAATGAGTGCTATCATATTAAAACCTGTTCCCGCCTAATATGAAAAAAAGCCTTTGTGCTGGGGATAATTTACTGATCAGGTGTTTACTTTTCTAAGCTAAAACAATTTAATTTTTTTAAAGACATAGACCATGAACTTACTTACACTTCAAAAAGTCTCAGTTTTATTAGCATTTTTGAAATTACGCTGAGCTGACTGATGCTAATTTACAGCTAAAATTTGCTACAAGTCTTCTGGAGCTCCCTCACTGTTCTGTATCTTTAAAACTACCCAGGGTTTAGACATGCTACTAAATGTATTCTGCTGTTTTTTGTTTACTAACTTCCGAGTCTTAGTAAAAGATGAGGTAGTTATATTTACTGAATTGCCTCTCTTCTATCCTGAAATCAATTGATGTATAACAAACTTGAAGAGGAACAGGAAAAAATGTTGAAAAAACACTTGCAGTGCAACTGTAGTTGTTTATTTTCATGACTGCCATAATAGCAATTTTTTATCTTGGCTCTAATTCTATGTAATTCTGTCTCTTAATTAAAAAAAAAGAAAAGAAAGTCCTTAACTTTTACAGCCTGTGTCAGTAAATCAATATGCTTGTGCAATAAAAGAAAGTAAAGTTTGTTGGATTATATACTACCTATCTGTAAACTATTTAAAACATGCTTTTCACACATGAAGTGGGGATGAAGCTAAGACTCACGTTACTCTTTTAAGAATTTCAAGATTAGATGCAAACCCATGCCAGTCTGGCATCTGATGCTTCCCAATTGTCTAAGCCTTTGTGAATAGCTCAGTTACTGCCCTTACGAGGCTGAGCCAATTCTATGTCTTAGTTTCAAATAAAATAAACTATGTCAGAAAAATTTCCAGTGTACGACCACAGTGCAGGCGAAACCGTTGACGTTCTCATGATCTGCAAAGCGTCTGTGACTCTCACTCTGCGCTGGCCAACTGCATTAAGTCACTGCTACATCACTACGGCAACATCAGCAGAACGACCTTTCCCGCACAGACTGATTTCCTGTCGACTTTCCATGGCTGCTTGCTAGACGCTGGCAGACATTTTTCCACAGTTTACATCAGCCTCACGGCTTTTGACTTGTTGCGGACTGTGCTGTGAGTTTGAGCGGTACTGATATCATTTTTTTATTCAAAATACCTGCACAGATCACAGAATCTGCCTACCCACTCGGTCAAATACTTAATACTATTTAGCCTTCATCACAGTATTCTCAGAGTCCAAAATAGCATTCAAATATTTGATATATTATAAATACATAGTAAGAAGTAAACAAATAGTCAATGTTAAAACAACACAGATGCGGAGACTGTGCCTTAGATATCATCAGGCTGGCACAAGTTCACGTCAACTTAATTCAACATTAAAAGCAACTCCAATGCCACCTATTGAAAATAATGTAAAAGAGATGAGTTTCAGGTACCATGCCGCCTCATTAAAGTCTGCCAAATGTCGTGGGGTTAAAATAACGTTTTCCTATTTCACTTTTCTCTCTTCCTTGTATTTTCACAAGGAGCCCCTCAAAATATAGGGTGTGAAAGCTTCATCCAGCAATAGAGCGATGAGCACGTCAAGCATTAAGTGCCTGAGGTGTTCCTCGGGCACGCACAACAGCGCAGATGCTTCCCTAAGTGCACGTTTTGAATCACTGAATCAAAGCCTAAAGCTTCCATGGAGTTCCAGAGATACTTTTGTCTGGAACAAACACACTCAGTTCAGTACACCCCATTCTGAAAATCCCAATTTAAATGACACGACAAGAGTCCAGACTGATTTCAGTGAAATAAAACTAGTTACAGATCTGCACGTGAAAAAGTATAACACCTATTAAAAGTGTAACTATAAAAATCTTTCAGCGGACACACCTTTAAATGCCAAGGTAATTCCCAATCATTTATTACAATGGTTAGACTGCTTTTATTGCAACAATAAGTAAATAAATATTTGATCCCATTTTCTACACAAATATAGGCTGTCCAAAAAAATTAAATCATCTGACAAAACCAGGTACAGTGAATTTGTCTTTTCTGGCACACAAAACCATGGCAGCTCTACTTCTGCGACTCCCACTAAACCAGGAAAACTGTTGTTCCACTCTGGTTAAGTTAAAATGTCTTCCATTATAACCCTTGGTTTGAATCGCTTTCCTATCAGCTTCCCCGTCCGCCTCGAGGCTTTTCAACACACTGCAGCTTTACTTCTTTCTGAAGTACTGCGTGAACTGCTTCACGGGACTTGATTAACTGTTACTTCTCTCTTACTTGGAAATAAAAGGTAAACATACAACTGCAACCGTGATTTTGGTTTTGCTAGTGTTGAAGGTTTGGGGTTACCATGTGCCCGCAGCAGAGCTTCTGCAGTGAAGAGCGGGGCCTGGAGCATGTCAGCAGACTCCACAATCAGCATGTCCTTAAGCCTTCGCAGGTCCTGAAGTCGTAGCCCCTCATATGGCTTGGAGAAGAAAAGAAAGACAATTTACATCTGGCCGTATTTCCCAGTTAGTCTGTAATGCCACGTTAAGATGAAATCACTCAAAGCGCTGTTACTGACCACCACCTCACCTGCGAGGCCGCGCGTGACCAGGCAGACTCGGTGTGCAGACCATGCAAAGCCGTACGGAAACACTCTCATTTTGCACTACTTATCGCGTGATCTTTGGACAGTTCAACACTGAAAGATGCTCTCTCCAGAGTTCTCCATTAGAGCTGCAGACCATGTTCAAATGATAAACGAATCTAACATTGACTCTCTCTCTCAAAAAAGCTACATTTTCACAGAATCCAGATGAATTTTGAAGTGATTAAACCTCAGATACTGTGGTGTGGGTATGAGAATGCAAGGCTAGATTTGAACTAAGGACTTCAGGGCAGAGCGCGAGGAAGGACAGTTCAACACACGATGCACACAGATTCTCTGACACGAACCTTATACATGAACTGAGACCCCGTCACTTTGAATTGATCTGGAGGAGGATACATGGAGACGTTTGGCATTAAGAAGGGGCACTATGTGAACGGAATCAGGTACAGGTCTCCTGAGGCAACAGCCACCCTTACAGAGGTGCAGAAGTCACGAATAGGAGAGATGAGACACGCAGTTAGATGTTCACAGAAACACAGAAGGGCTGAGGGTGGAAGGGACCTGCAGACGTCATTTGGTCCAAGTGTCCTGCTCCTAAAGCCAGCTGCCCAGGACCATGCCCAGATGGTTTTTGAGTATCTCTAAGGCTGGTGATTCATTGCACATAAAGATGTTGAAACTCTGAGAAACAACAGCCAGCTCTGACAGCCCTACACAGTCAGAGCAGATATCCAGCTGCTTTCCTGGTCTGGAGCTCCAACCCTTTATTACAGCACTAAAAAAAGGTCAAATTAGAAAGACAAAAAGACAGTAATTTTAGGATTCTGAATTAGCTCCAACCAAGATACAAGGAAAGAGAAAACCAACTTTGTACAGAGGGTTTGTACAGAGAATGGACACAGAAAGGGTATGTAAAAAAATGTTCTTACACATGCTGGTTTTAGTTGTAAAAAGGAGGGCTAGCAAAAGATTTAAACCATTTGACACAGAACTGATACGTGCTCAGGACTAATTAGGAACCCAGTCATCGAAAGGCAACTGTGTGTGCCAATCTGGAGAAGAAATGACACAGAGCAGCAGCAGTAACAGGTACTATCAGATAACAGCATCGTTATTATTTACTATTACCTGATTTTATGCAGAGCATAGTCCAGGACAGCCCAGCACTAGGTAACACTCAAGCACATGCATGCAGATGCACACAGACACAAAGCAAAAGACTGGTTCTGTCCTCTAAAGGTGACATTCTAAGCACAAGTCTTCTGTGTGCATAAACCTTTGAGGAGAACAAGCAGAAAGAACAAGAGATGGGGAGAACGGATACCCTGGGCTTCTACATGATTTTGGTTTTTTGAGACACCTACTTTAAAAACCTAACAGGCTTCCTCCTTTCTAGGTAGCATAAAAAACTCTATACAACACAACCAAAACAATAACTGACTCCCACCAGGACCTCTAATGTCCGCGAGTCGGTGAAACAAACAGGAGCTTCCCAATTTTAGAAACTGCGATCAGCAAGAGCGATGGTGCCACAGCCCTGCACCGGCTCTTTGTCCTTCTTGAGAAAGCAAGAAAAGCAGAAGAGAAACGGACTGTAAGTGTCCTGACCTTTGTCATGATTGCCCAAGCCCAGGGAATTTCTGTACGTCCTCCCACTGCTGATCATGCGTGACTCAGTTAAAGGACAATCTGAACGTTAATGGCTGGCGCCGAAATAAATCTGGGCCACTTGATTCATAGCCTGCTGGAATTTGACTGACCTACTTAATTTTTTATAAATGATCTCTGTTGTAAAAACATGTCAGAAAGACAGGGATACAAACAGCTGGGTGCCTGAATGATTAGAATGGCACAAACATGCTGAGAAAAAATGGAAGCAAAGAGTAAATTGCCTTGTCTGAATGTGAGCTGCTTTCGGAACTGCAATGTAAAGCAAGTAGCTTTGTCAGCACAACAGCACTCAGTGCTGGAAGACCACATGTATCGTAAAGAGAAACGTCTTTCCTGTTCAACCTGCAACACGTAGGCATATTTTAGGACCTAATATTTTATCCTGAAATGCAGATATGCTCAGAATTCCATATAACTGATTGGTCCTACGTCAAATGCTGGCAAGTATCTCCCCTGAGTGACAGACTATCGTATCATCTTAGCTGAGGCATTCCACACAACTCAGTGGGGATTTTTGGATCCTGCTGTTTTTAAGAAACCTAATTTTATCTTTCTAAGTAACGAAGGAAATATTTCTTAAGAATGTGTTTGAAACGTCGGATATTTGCTTCATAAAATGATATATAAGCCACAGAAGAAGCTTTTAAAGAAAGGAAATTTTAGGCTGGCACTATTAAGTAGCTTAATCTGGAAATTCCAGAGTGAAGGCTTTATACGACAAGAACCATTAAAAATGTTAATGTGTAAGACATAGTCCTGTAGATACTTGGGAAGACACAGTCTTCAGCAATAAGGATGTATATCCTTTATATACTATCACAGAGGTTTGTTTTTAACAACTTCAAATTTATCTCTGCACTGTCATATACTGTAAAGGATTTTTGATTACAGCTTATGAAGCTCAGAGATCTTTCACATTAATTTATGAAAGAGCTCTTTACTGATATTTGCTGCAAAATAAGTCATTGATCAGTATTAATAGCGTTTCACTACATAATGATTTTAGAATATACTATCTGAGTTACTACTTTAACACTTCAACATTTCTCTGTTCTCAAGAGCTCCTCTTTTTAACTCTTCTCAGTTTTTACCACTAATATTTATGTATCAAAAATTATATATTCTTTTCCCCTGAAAGCACTTTTAATATGTACACTGATTATTTTAATTTCAAACTATTACTATTTTCTTCACTTCTAAAGTACCATTAAAATAGACAAAGGCAAAGTAACTCTTTGCAACAGTGATGACTACACAATTAAAATACAGTTAATGCAAATATCTTCCTTTATGGGTGGATGGAGTTCTATAATGGAGTCATATGTTGTATAAAAAAATCTATATTCCATTTAACTCATTCCAGTGTAAGTATATGCACTATACATATATAAATGTATATGCACCTTAACTATGCATAGTCCCCTTCTCTCCCTTAATAAATTATTCTCTCTCTGTAGAGATAAAGTACATTTTAATCATTTTAGATAACTCTATTATGCTTATATATATATTTGTAAGACCTTGGTTCTGAAACTGAAGAAAACCATTCCAATTACTATGCACTCAATAAATCTGTGATACACTCACTAGCAGTGTATTTCTGCAGTATTCAGTGGCACATATGTAAAGGGAACTAAGAAAATATGTATTTTGCTATTGTATAACGTATTTCAGTGAGTCGACTGAGAGACAGAACTGTTCTGGATGATCTGCTCTGAAGCACTGCTCATTCCCAGGTGTTTGGTACAGAAGTTTAAAACAGTGCACGATGTGATTGAAATGAAGGTACCTGCTGTCTTCCACGTACACATCACCAAGATAAATACACTCCCATGCTAGGATAAACAGCAAATGAAAAGACCGCACAAGTAAAATAACCCAAACCTACAAATGCAATTTAAAAAATAAACTGTTGTGGTCATATTATTTAGTCTTGCTTCAATTAGGCTTAAAAGATAAATTTCAATTTTATGTAACAGAGATATTTTTTGAGATTGTTTATCGACAAAGTAAGAGAAAAGAATCAAGACACAGAAGGTCGTCCAAACACCCTCCTGGCTTGTTTCGTAACACCCTTTCCACCGCCCAAACATCGCAGACAGATCTTTTGCTACAACTAACTAAAGTGCAAAGAGAGATACACTTTATTCTTAAAATATTTAGCATTTCATTTTGCTATAGGGCAGTACAGATTATGTGTATGTCGGTACATTGTTTTCTTTCCAAAGTATGTGCTGTGGAAACACACGTGCCAGGGACATTTGTGCCTGGAAACCACCGGGGCCTGTTTGTCACCCTTCCCTAACTGCAGGCTCCAATTTGATCACAAAAAACGTTTGAGGTCTATGAACACCAAAGTAAAATTGCCTTAAAAATATGCTTCAGGAACCACTGCAATAAAACGAGAGTTGAAAGGCTGGGTGACTGCATGACGGGAATGGGTTTTATTCAGAAACGCCAGCAGAGGCAAAGGGACTGTTGGCCGACGGACAGACCCTTGCTGTCACGCTCGCACACTGGACATGCGGGACGGTGTGGCCGTCTGCCCTTCCCAATGGCTTGAGAGCCTCTGTAGCTGAAGAAAGGGATGTGCACAAGTGTTTCGACCCTAAACATGAGCACTGACGTAATTCCTTGGTAAAATCTCAGTGTGCAGAACACCACAAAGCAGTTCCCAACATAAGGAACAAAGCTTTGTTACGGCTCTGGATACGCATGCCTAATCCAGCGCTGCTGCACAGAGACTACAGAGATCGTTTGCCCTGGGTGCAGAAGAGGAGCACGCGCTGCTGCGAGCACGGCTGGTCTGCCAGGAGAGGTCCTGGGCACCGTCACTCTTGGCGCTGCCGCCCTTGTCATGAACACCAGAGCAAAGCCTGTGTGGCCATTGTGCCTGGGAAGAAACCCTATTCACAGCTTCCAAATGTCTTATCTTATCCTCTGACCTTCACTCAAGAGATTAAATGACTCTGAAAACGCATTTCTCGGTGTTCTGAATTTCTTTAATTATTTATGAATTAATTTTTGTGTGTTTTGGAAGGATGTTAAAGGGCATCACCAAACAAATATATTCTAAATGCTACGTTAAAAAAACAATTTGCACTTCGCTTCTGAAAATGAAATTGAGAGAAATTGGTCACTCTAAGGGCTAAGACCGAGACATGAGCGTTCCCAGGCTACATGCACTTGGCACCTCTCTTGCGCTAGCACTTGTTACAGTTACACATGAAGTTAGAGAACTTTTTTTTCCTGCTGAAAAGTCACACAGAAAAGGGGGGAAAATCCATAAAGGGGGCACGTGAAGGCAGAATTTCTCTACATGACACCCCAAGACGGCTAATCAGTATCCCCAATTCCAGGCTGATTTTTGGCTTGTGAATCTTTAGAACAGGTGGGAAAGCTGCCCGTGTATGTCAGAGGGATGCAGGACCCCAGGCGCACTGGCACCACAGTTCTCACATTCATCAGCTTTGCTGAAAACAAGTCAAATGAAGAACAGCCTCAGTGAAGTGACCCTAAACTAACACCATTTCCCTCTCCTAAGTTTCTTGTGTAATAAACCTCATCTCAAAACCTCTCATCTAGGAATATACGACCTAATTAAGCTTGTTTGCATTTGAATTTATTCAATAAAGTTATTCAGAAAAATAATTGAACAGTACAAAGACTTTCTTACTTTCAGATAAAAATGACCATGCGTGGCATCTTTTAGGGAAACAATTGATGCGATCTAAGCCTACTCATATCTAAATCTAAATCTAAATCTAAATCTAAATCTAAATCTAAATCTAAATCAATTTTCTTGTAAGCATCATTAGATCATAGGTGGGTTACGCTGGCCAAAGGCAGGGCCATGCTACTTTTGACAGGAGTAGCCATACAGAAATCGACCGACCTTCAGTTTCGTCCTAGCTTGAGCTAGACCAGAACCGATTCTGTTCAGCGATTTTACTCTTCAGCTCAGTCTTTTCTAAGCGAGCGCACTTTGTGCAGTTAACCGTTTCTGCAGACAGCGGCTGCTACTAGAGGTGATAACGCCTGATGCTTATAGTTACTGCCAGGGACTGGCATGCAGGGACCAAGGATACTGCCAGACCGGAGGTACCACAACGGGGTGCTGAGAAATAAAAGGGCTGCCAGGAATTAAAACCCAGCAGCTCCGTGGAGGAATGCACAGCACAGGTGACCCAAAACCAACCAGCAAAGTATTCCGTTCCAGATATGTCACAGCCAGTACAAAGCTGAGGGATCACGGGGGTGAGGCTCTCTTCTTCCATGGCCGGCATCTGAGGAGGGCTCTGCCCATCCTTCTGCCCTGGCCGCAATCCGTGAGTTCCCGAATCCTCCCCCAGCATCCAGCTCCCCGCTGGCACCAAGCCCGGGGCTGCCCCACTGCCGCTGGCTCTGCAGCACCCCTGGGATTGCTGTCGGGGGGGAGTGTTGGGTTCTATATGGCGCTTGTACATCTTTCATTATTTTCTCAGGGGTATTACTGTTTTAGTAAAGCTCTTACGTTTTCTCTCCCAGCCTGCAAGTCTCTCTACCGTATTTCCTTTCCCCTTCCCCTCTGGGGAGGGAGAGGGGTTATTAGAGAGTATCTGTCACTTGTTTACAGGTCAGCACAACCTTAAGCCTTGACAGCTAAATTTTGGTGGCCTGTAAGGGGCTTACTCGTATCTAAATATGAATTTTTTTAAAGTGTCATTAGGTCATAAGCAGGGCTAGGTGAGTAAAAGGCAAGGGCATGCTACTTTTGTGGGGAGTTGCCAAACAGAAATGTAAAGTCCTTTAGTTTACATGGGATTACTTTGTTAAATTTACTGAAACATACAATGTATCTGTGTATTCTTATTTAAACTTTTAGGCAATTAAAATCTGATAATGGATGGGGGAGGATGCTCAGAGTCTTTCTGATCAAATTCTCCTTAGCAAATCTGCACAGCATAGCAGAATTCAAGCAAATTTGTGTCAGTGTCTCTCTTTCAAAAATTGGCTTCAGAATGAAAACACCTGTTACTACCCACAAGCAGTAACAGCTAGTAACTACCTGTTACTACATACAAGTTCTGGTATGCAGTAGCTTCAGGCATCATGTTATAAAACAAGAAAGTAAATGCACTGTTTCCAAATCTTGCACTACTCAGCTGGGTCACACTTAACCCAGCTTCAGTCTAGTAAGATCGTCCAGAACACTTCCCCACAGATTTTCTCCTTTTCAGAACTTCTCATGCCTTCATTTTTGGACAGAAAGGCATCTTGAGACATAAAAATATGTAAAAAAATGTTTGTTTTACAGAAACTGTTGCCCAGCTTACTGGCTTCACTCCAGCCTCACACCTTGCAACACTTTTGTGTGTCCATGTACTTAAGTATGTGAATAAAACTCCTCTTTAGTTTTGATAATGTATTTGTTATGTTCTCTGAGCTTTACTTGAAAGCTATGAAGAGCCGTGTTAAAATCAAATGGTTTACAAATATACAGTACAAAGTAGAGCACCTATGAAATACTCTGCAGAATTTTGTCACGGTGTAACGACCACAAATAAAAATGTGTAAAATATTCCAAATGTGAAGTAACCTCTGACCTCTTTTTTATCTAAAGCAGCATATTCAGCTTCAATGCTTTCAGCTTCAGGATCACGTGAAAATACCATTCGAGATTCCAGGTTAAGAGCCAGCTCTTTGTGGTGTTGTTTCTCTGCGCAGTCACATGGGGTATCTTTATTTTCATTTTCTGCAAACAAATCTCCACCATGTTTTACTAGAAGCTGGAAAGTAAAACAGCAAACACTTATTAATTATCAACTCTAATAATACCCTGAAGAAAGGACATGTCAGATAAGAGAACAAGAAAAACATGAACGAGGAGAATAGAAAGAAGAGACAAATATAACAGCAACAGTCTTTGAGAAACAATGATTCTCTACAGTTATTAAATAAACTATTGCTTGATTTCATACATAACCATATCTAGACCCCTGTAATTCCATGGAACCACAAAATTTACAAGGCAATGCTGTACAACGTCTCTGTTAGGTTTTAAGCACCAAACTTCTCCACTGAAATGGTCAGTGCTCTGTAGAAAAGGAGGGGTCTGAGGTCCTCAAGCAGCCGGCAAGATGGAGCTAGAAACACTTCCAAACATCCCTCACGTGTGGGTGTAACGCCACCGCCCTTCCCAGCACTTGCACAGCCGTGATGACAGAAAACGGGAGATTCCCCAGGCAGCTGGGAAGACAGGGTACAAATGCACAGGGAATAGTACTGGTTGCTTCACCTTATTTCTGAGGACAGGAGAAAGTGAAATTCCATAATTGTAATTCAGTCTAGAGTTGTGCCATTTCACCAAGCTTGTCTCTTGCCAGTAACCGCCCAGAAATACAGTCTCTAGCTAATAACACTAATTGTGCTGCTCTGATTACCCTGCCAACTGAGTCTCCTGCTATGAACTGATCAGATACAAGCAAGGACAACAAATGCCACTGATTTTGGAGGCCAACAGTGGACCAGTTAGCTGATTCATTATGACATCTTTATAACATGTGCTAAACTTCTAATGATAGAGCACCCAGGACAATTATTCACTACTAAATGATTCATCTTATTTCTAAAGAAAACTAAAATCTATACACATTACGCTGCCTTAAAGACCATGATGGCAGTAAAAACACTATCCTGTATTTTTAGCCAGGCTATTTCAAAACCCAGCTTCTAATTTTTACACTTATATCCCAAAATAAAAAATATTCAAGCCAACATGGCTTCACTAGGGGCAAGTCGTGCCTGACTAATTTAGTGGCCTTCTACAACAAAGCTACAGCACTGGTTGGCATGGGAAAAGCAACGGATGTCATTTTCCTGGACTCGTGCAAGGCGTTTGACACTGTCCCACATGACATCCTTGTCCCTAAAATGGAGAGACATGGATTTGATAGATGGACCACTTGGTGGATAAAGAACTGGCTGGATGGTCGCACTCAAAGAGTTGTGCTCAATGGCTCGATGTCCACATGGAGATCAGTGACAAGCGGTGTTCCTCAGGGGTCTGCTCTGGGTCCAGGGCTGTTCAACATCTTTGCTAGTGACGTGGATGACGGCACCGAGTGCACCCTCAGCAAGTTGCTGATGACACCAAGCTGTGTG